CTCTTTCCCATATCTATTCAAATCTGTAACCATTTGTGTGTACTTTCTGGAGACACAGTGACAAAATTCTCTTTCTCTCTCTCAATCCTTTATTTTAATCCATTTTTACACGTCAACCAAGGTTAAGGATTAATGCTGTTTTGCTTTTTTAAAGCACAGTTCAAATGACCCCTTGCTCATGAATTTCACTCAAAGATATTTATTTGAGCTGATTTTCAGCCAATTCACTTTTTTATTTCTAAATCATCCTAATGGTCATCAGGACTTGGTACATAATGACAGATATAGTATTGTAGACATTATCTTTAAATTCTCTATCACTATGTACTAGTAGAATATGTGAAACTGATGAGATCTCTTGATGTCCTAGTAAAGCAAAATGGGCATCTTTACAGCTATATTCTAATACTATAAGCATGCCAGTATAATACAGTTTTTTTCTGATATTGAACTTATATCAATGGTACTTTCCATTTTATTAATTATTCAAAATTAGCAGTTACTTTTTCAAAAATTACTGGAAAAGTGGATCCATCTTTCTATGGTAAATGAAAAACAGGTGGCTTATGTGATAATTGGGCAAGTGTTTGAAGGAGTGGGCCTCTGTTTTTGATAATAACCAGTGTTGTGTGTCTTATAATTGTGATCCACAGTGTAAATATTGGGAAAAGGAAACTTTGAATAAATGAGCAGCCCAATGTGCTTTTTCTATCAGGGTATGAAACACTGATTATGTTCTTGACTAAAATTTTCACCCTTAGAATGGAGTCAGGCTTCCTTGAGCAAATTGGGCAAATAATGGGTAGGCTGTATTTAGTTCCCAAAAAAGTATAATTTCCCTTCCTCTGTTGTTTCTCGATTACATAGAATTCCCTTTTCACAACTTTTACTAATAGCAAAAGACACTGTTACTTATGTCCTTGAAAATATAGAATATGGGGGAGAGGAAGCAATTGGACCAGGTAGTAGCTAAGGACATTAAAGCAGCAAGACCAGTGCTGTATATTTCTATACTTATAGAAATATGTACTTCTCAAAATAAGACCTAAAATATGAAAACCCAGATCTGACTCCATATTTGACACTGTCACTGTAAACTTTTTATATACTTGCATTGCTAGCCACTTCTCCCTCTTTGTTTTTTGCAAAAGGGCTGATACTAATCATACTCTGGGACTCAGTATCAGTAAGCAGTTGAAGGCTTATTTTATCCTCAATCTATTGGAATAAAAAATGGGAAAGATCAAGTCATAGGATCATAAGGCTCAAAACCGTGCTCTAATTCCCCTTAGCTATCTTACTCTACACTAAAACATTAGCACAGAGTCAGAAATAACAAATATTCTAAAGAACCCTAGGATTGAGAAAAAATGGTCCAAAGATAAACCAAACAAGAAAAAGGGGGTGAAAGGGCCTATAGAAGCCTTAAGTTACCAAATCTTTATGTAAACTCTACTTGAGATGAGGATCACATGTGAGGGCAACTCTCGTGGGACTAGAGTGCACTGTAAGCACTTGAGAGTTTGTGTGAGTCTGCAGCCATACCACCATGAATGCACCTGATCCTGTCTGATCTTGGAAGCTAAGCAGGGTCGGGCCTGGTTAGTACTTGGATGCGAAAATTTGTGTGAGCTCAGCAAGATATAGAATTATAGTGTCACTAATCAAATTTTGTCATTTTTTCAAATTACATAGAATAAATTTTCGGCACCATCATCAAATGCAAAAGAAGGTATCTACTGTTAGAGATAGCTCAGAAAGAAGTTGTGAGGTACTATTTTGGTATATTAGTTTCTATTCAGCCTTCAATTTTCTCTTAAGAAATGCTTTATACTTTCAAACATTGCACCAAAGCAATCCTTAATATCTAATCTTAAAGACATTTGTCATTAAGTTGGTTGATTTTAGCAGAAAAAGACAATTTTAAAAATACTTGCCATATAAGGAGAGGGAGCATTATCATCTGAAACACTGTAGAATGACACTTCAACTGGAAGAATCAAATGTGTGGGGCAGAAAATACCACTTGCCCCTACCTCGGCAGTAAAACCATCGACAATGCCGAGAGGATCTAAACGGTAGTTCAAGACAGATTCCTGGAAGACAAAATAATTTTTAAGAAATAAATATAACAAGTTAACACATTCATTTTGTTTTCTATTTCAAGAAATACATTCCTATGCCTTCTGGCACTAGAAAAATGGTTGCTACCATTGCCATGCCCTCATTTCAGATATTCATCTGACCTGAAATCAGCTCCTCCCTGGGGCATCAATCTTCTACCATCCTACAGAGTTTGGCCACCTCCCACTATTCCAACCCATGCTGAACTATTCTTGAACTTCACCATTAGTTAGACCTAATTGTTTAATGTTGTTCTTATCTCTGTAAATAAAAATATACTCTAGAGCAGGTATAATATCAGAAATTTTTCTCATCCCTTGCACAGCCTTTTCGTGGTGCTAGCTGCAGAGAAGCACTTGACAACTTGTTAGCAGGTCATATACAGAAGTTCTATCAAAAGAGAAAGCCATGCACTTATAACTTTAACCAAGAAATAACTGCTTCTTTAAAAAAATACTGTTGTATATGACATATGTTTTATTGTCTAATTTAAAAAATGCTCATTAGAAAAAAAAAAAAACTTTAAAGAAATACAAACAGAAGAGAAGATCCTTATCCATCTATCCCAAGCTCACTTGCTGAGATAACCACTGTTAACAATTTAATGTTTATCTTTCCAGGTAGGAAATGTTTCTAGAAACATTTTAAACCTTTCACAAACCTCTCTTTTGTATACTTATATCAGCACATATATGCATATATCACGTGAGTAGCATTTCTTTGATTCAGTAATTCTTTGAAAAGGAACTCTGCAAGCCCTTATGAGTCTAATAGTCTGTGTACTCTATCTAAATGTAAAAGAGCAAATCAGCAATTCTAAAGTCCCCTGGTCAAAAAGACTGAAACCCATGTTACAACAACCTTCTCTATCTCCTTCCTGCCCTGTAATCAATTCAATCCATAGCCTGGTGATTTGACGTCTCAGTCTCATGGCCTCTGCTCTCTCCCCAACCACCAGTAACCTTGCTCAGACCTTCATAACTTCTCCAAACAAATGCAATGTCTTCTAAGTAGTCTTTCCATCTCTATCCTCTGTATTACTGCTAGAGTTGTTTATGTTTTTTAAAAAAATGCCTTATGTCATTCACCAGGTTAAAAACTTTGTGTTTCTGGTATCTATGGGATGAAGTCAGATCTTCATAGCATGGCATTAAGCCCCGTGTACCTTTCTTGCATCATCTCTTCCCACTTGCAGAGTCTCATGCTCCAGTTTCAGTTGATGCTTTCCAGCACCACCATGCTATTTCACTACTTTGCACATGTGTCTTTGTGCATGTGGTTCCCTCTGTATAGAATCCTTTGCCACTCCCCGCACAAATTACTTGGCAAATTCCTGCTCACCTTTTATAACCAAGCTCAAGTGACAGTTCCTCAGTAAAGCTTTCCCACATCCCTTTAGCAGAGAGTGGACATATGAAGACTGAAGAAACTTCTATTACAGTGTTAATTACTTGGGTTTATAAGTTATTTATATGACTATCTTTTCTAGTAGACCACAAACTTCTCCAAGACAGGAATCTTATTATTTAGCTTTGTATTCCCAGCATATATGACAACACATAGTAGGTACTCAATAAGTGTTTAAGAAAAATATTCTAAAGATGTATAAAATGTTCATAGGAAAAGCACATATTAAAATGCTTATGGAAAAAGTCAATGACCCATATTAGTCTTTAACTTGATTCAGAATTTTGTGACTTTAAATAAATATGCTAACATGGATTCTAGGCCCTACTCAGTGCAAAACAACAAGGAAATAAAAGACATACAGATAACAAAGTAAGAAATAAAACTGTCCCTATTTGTAGATAATATGAGCATCTACCTAAATAATACCAAAGAATCTAAAAAGAATCAATAAAAGTAATAAATAAATTGAGTAAGGTCATAGGTGATTATATATACATATATGTAAATGTATTATATATATGTATACATTTAAAATCACTTATATTTTAATATATAGCAATGAATAATTGGAATTTAAAACTTTCAGTGTACAATTTACAATTATCACCAGAAAACATGAAATACTTACATATAAATCTATAAAAATATGTCTAAGAAACTATAAAACACTGATGAAAAAATCAAATAGCTAAATAAATGTAGAGATATACTGTGTTCATATATCAAAAGATTTAATATTCTTAAGATGTTAATTTTCCAAACCAAATCCAGTTGGCTGTTTTGTAGAAATAGATAAGCCAATTCTAAAATTTTTATGAAGAAGGAAAAGAACTGTTAAAGCAATTTTGAGATAGAAGGCTACACTAGAGGACTCACAATACCTGATTTCAAAACTAGAATGGACAATCATATTCATAAAAATGAACCTTGACCGCATACTTCATATCATATATAAAAATTAACTCAAAATAGATCACATATATAAATGTATGAGCTAAAATAATAGAACTTAAAGAAGAAAAACATAGAAGAAAAATTTTGTGACCTTGGATTAGGTCAGTGATTCTCAACCGGAGGACGCATGTCAATGTTAAGAGATATCTTTGGTTGCTACAACTGGGGTAAGGAGCTGGTGCTACTGGAATCTAGTGGGTAGAGGCTAAAGATTCTGCTAAATGTCTAACAATGCTTGAAACAGATCCCATAACAGAATTATCTGGCTCAAATACCAATAGTGCTAAGGCTGAGAAGCCCTGGGCTAGGCAAAAATCTTTTTAGATACAACATCAAAATCAAGATCCATAAAAGAAAATAATAAATTGGACATGAACAAAATTTAAATCCTTTGTTCTTTAAAAGACTGTTACAGAGATGTAAATCAGCCTTAGACTTAGAGAAAATATTTGGAAAACATATGTGCTTATTTGGGAAAGCAAAGCTAAATGATAAAGCACAGAAAGGAGGCTCCAACAGTATCAGTCATAGGGAAGTACAAATTCAAACCACAGTATGATAGCACTACACACCTACTAGAATGGCTAAAATTAAAAAGGCTGACTATTGCAAACGTTGGCAATGATGTGGGGGAACTATAACTCTCATACATTGCTGGTGGGAATTAAAAATGGTATAACTACTTTGAAAAATAGCTGAGCAGTTTCTTAAAAAGTAAAACATACACCTATCATACTACCCAGACATTCTAATCCTGGGTAGTTACCAAACCAAAATGAAAACTTATGTCCATACAAAAACTCATACATGAATATTCATAGGAGTTTTATTTGTAATAGTCCCAAACTTAAAAAGACCCAAATGTCTAGAATCGGGTGATTTAATAAACAAATGTTTATTGCCATATAACAGCAATAATAATAATAGCAATAAACAAACAAACAAACAAAAAAACCAAACTCTTGGGTGAGTGAAAGAAGCCCCTGCCTCCAAAAAAGAGTAAATACTGAATGGGTCTACTTAAATAAAATTTTAGAAAATGCAAGCTATTTTATAGTGATAGAAATTAATGGGATTACCTCATTAGGAAAAATAACCCATTTCAAATGGCTGTCAGTATTGTGCTGGATTGAAATGACAGAAGAGAATCACAAGATAGATAAGTGAAAAGGATGAGAATGAAATTTTTGGAATGGAAAACTCTAAGTGGTAGCAAGAAAAAAATAACTAGCTTCAGAAGTCAGAAAGACAGCCTTCTATTTGGGTGTTGCTCTGGGTCCATGTGTTTCTAGACTCTACCTAAAGCCCCACAAATCATGGCAAAAAATACTTTGCCCTGGATCATGAAACAAAACCAATGTGTCAGTTTAGTAATTCATCCATCCCCCCACTACCCTTTTTAGATTGCCACAGAGAGTCAAATTCACAAAGCAGAATATCTCCTGTGATTTACTGGAGAGAGCATCAAATTCATTATAAATTAAAGAGGACCTATGGGTTGGACAGTCTCAGAACTTCTCTTAAGTCATATAATTTTTCTATTTAAGAAGTCACATGAAAATGTGTGCATATCTGCACAAATAGAATCGTGTGAAAATAAGTGTACTGATCTTTAACCAACTTCCCTTTCCTAAAGCTTTCAGATAGCAAAGCTCTTTTTTCCCCCTTCATAAATATTCTTGTAATAAAAAGGTTTCAGAGGACCTGATCCTCACAAGGGCCTTATGTAATTTTAAATGACAAAGAACAGAGAATTCAACATCTCTGAACTGATACCTTGACAATGACATAGAAAAAAGGTCTACTTACCATAACATATATTTTCTTTTTATTTCCACTAAAACTTTAAAAGACAGCCTGAATATTAAAATATTGTCTAAATAAAATATACTGTTACTATATCAAAACACCACAACTCTGGTAAAGCTATTTAAGTTAAAAATATAAATTTTAAGTTATTTTTCCATAAAAAAAAAAACCTCATCAATTAAAATCACTTTTAAAATGTCATTAGCAGGTTCATGTTTAAGGTTGTTTTCTAATTAATGACAACTAAACTCATAATAATACACTTGATCCCAAGTATATTATATTCATTATTAAATAAAGCAGCACATGTATCAAAGACCTTTAACCATTTGACTTTTTAAATTATCTTTTTATTTTAGAATAGATTTAGATTTACAGAGAAACTGTAAATACAGTACAAGAAACCATGTGATTTAAAAATCAACCTCCTTGATCATGAAAGGACTGCCATCAGTACACCGTCATCCTTCAAGGCCAGTTTTACCAGGTAAGAAAATGAGTCAAGTCTGTCCTCTGGCTAGAGTAATAGATACCTCCATCCAATGTGCTTTTATCTAAGTCTTCTGTCTCCTCTACAAACTACCCAATTCTAAGATGTCACTGTCAACAATTCTCCCAACTTCACTTCTGGTGAAAAGGAAAAGGAAAGAAGGTGATTTCAAGGCTTTGGAAAAATACAATCCAATTTTTTATTTCCTTTTTATAAGCAAATGACATAAATTATCCCCTGGATATAGTTTAAGAAACTGCGACTCTAAAAATAGTTTCAAAAAACATTACCTCAAAATTTCCTAGGAGACTAAGACTTGTTATAGGTGGAGCACTAGAACTCAGAAATGGTTTTTCATGAATATCTGGATCATCTTCAATTTTCAAACATGGCCGAGGACTAACAAAAAAAGTCAGAAATGGACATATTAACCATAATATTTTCTAATTAACTTTTTGCTGTTAAATTAAGATAATCTGATCAATTTTACTTAAACTACCATAATAAAAAATTAATCTAACCAAATTTTAAGATATGAAATATCTAGTTTAAAATTCCAGATCAGATTTTATAATCATTATAATATTTAATAAAGAACATCTATAACATCCTAGAAAGTTTCAAGGTAGAACTTATAACACATCATATAATGGCATCTACTGGAAACATATAATAATGCATTCTTTTATATCAATTTTCATTTTCAGTTAAAAATGAGAATACAAGGGCAACATTATGTGAATAAAGAATATGAGAATATTATATGTCAACAGGGACAAATCGCCAAGCCTTTTTTGCAAAATAGTATAAGGCAAAAGGGGATGTGAATGACCAGAAATATACAAACCCACTTAAACGTTAAAATCAATGTAAGTGTTTATTTATTATGATGACCAATATATAGCATCTACTTTTAATTTTCTCCCTGACTCATCCTTAATAACTATGTGTGTGTGAAATCACAATGAAAATGATATAACTAACTAGAAAATAAGATTCCATTAAATTTTTTATTTTTAGAGCCAACATTATTTTATGTGAAAGGTCAGAATTTTGTGTAATACTGTTTATATCATATACACAAATGAATATTAAGATAAATACCTTCTAGATGCTAAGCTTTTCAGATGCAGTAACGAAGAATCCAGATCAAAGCAACCTGATTGTGTCTTTCTTTGAGGAACCTAGGGTCAAAATAATCATTTGTGATATTTGTAAAGGCTATAATTTTTTTCTTGAGTTGATAGAATACTTTTCAAATGAAAGCTAAGCATATCTTAAAAATAATAACCTTCTCCTGTAACAGCTTACTTAAAATAAGGCTTGTTATTACATAATATTTTTATTTTATTAACTAGTATGGAAAAAACATGATTAATAAAGGCACTTTTACTAGGTTTTGATTTAAGAAGTAGAATCATTTTTTTCTAAAACCAAACATGGAATCCCAACATATAATAAGACTTTTTTACTTTATATACTTCTGTATTTTGGGGCGGGGGCGGGATGGAAACAAAAGATTTATAGTTTTAACATAAAAAGAAAAAAAAGACTTAATGGTTATGGGAACCTGGGGTCCTGTGTTGCTCCTTTGCTCATCCCCACTACCTTGCACATTTTTAAGAATCCTGGGGCTTCCAAGACAATAGGTTTGAAAATTACTGCACTCGGGAGTTAGAGGCACCATTGAATACCAGATTACATTTAAGACAAACCACCTCTAGCTCTAAATATCCTAAAAGTGAAAGACCCGAGTATAAATTAAAGGTAAAATCATATACGACATGCCAGTTAGATTTGTTTCTAGAATTAATATTGCATGAATATCTGAGTGATTAGTCTAATTGGTGACAAAGAAAAACATGACACTGAAAGTCTAAACAACCTCAATATTTTTGAGAGTTGTACAAGTGTACCATATGATTTTTTTGTAGTCAGCACTTAATGTGAAATTTTCAACCTAAACTATCACTCTTCAATTCTGGAAAGGTCTTTACCTTCATTTCTTCTAATATTGCATTTTCCTTATTCCATCTAGTCCTCTTTTTGGAATTTCTACTGGACTTATGTTGAGCATCTTATTTTATCGTCCATGGCTCTTTCATATTTTACCATCCCTCTTCCTCACTGTACCTCATTCTAGGTGCTTTCTTAATATCTGTCTAATCCAGTCACTAAATCTATCCAGCTTATTCTAGTCCACTGTTTAATCCATCTGTAAGTGTATGTACATGTGTGTATACTCTTAAATTGTAATATTTTTTATATGTAGAATATCTATTTATTTCTTCCAAATCCATATGATTCTTCATCTCAACCCTCTGTCTTTACCTTTATTAATCTCTTGGAACATTTTGAACAGAATTGTTTTTTACTCTTTTTCAGGTTGCTCTTATAACAGGATTCCTAAATGTGAATTCTTCCACTTCTTGCTACTGCTGATTCTTTTAAAGTACTTTGTATTTTTTTTTTCTTCCCAGATCATCTTCAGCAGAAGTTATTTTCCATGAAAACAAACCCTTCGCTATAGATGTGGGATAGTTTCATGTTCCCTTTGCTGAGACTCAATGAATTTCACAGGTTCCAATTTAGTTTTATGGTTATTTCATAGCTAGATGTTTCTGAAACTCATCAACTACACGAATTCAGAACCCGTACAATGAGTGGCTTAGGTTTAGGTCACAATTCTTTTGGGGGCTTCTTTTCCCATCCACTATATACCTCCCTGTTGCACCCCTTAATAGGTAAATTTTTTCCTCTTTTCCCATCTCTGGAAGGGGAGTCCACCCTTGTTTCTACTTTTATGACAAGTCTGGTATTAGGTCCCAGCTATGACTGGTACAGACTTGGAGTTTTGACTCCTGTCCCAGCAGGGGCATTAAACCTTAGCACTATCTTAGGTTTAGATAGCCTGGAGGGCCATAATTTGCCCACGTTAGTATTCATAGATTTATCTTTCTTGCTCTTACACTATATGTATTTACAAGTTTTCTCATATTTTACCCCGGATATCTGTGTTTAGGAAGGAGGAGGGGGTCTTCCTATATCGACTCAGTCTAACATATTGAATAGAAGTCTGTAGTGTTTTTTATACCAGAATGATGCTGATAAATGATTTGCAGACATTCTAGATAATTGCAAGTTCTAAACATGAGATCAGAGAAAACTACTTACGGGACTTGAAAGAAGAGGCAATCCAGTTCGAGGATGAAAGGCTCTTGTTGAGGTTCCATCCAAAGAATGAAAATTATGTTTCCGCCAGACACTTGAATGTTTCAATGGCATAGTCCTCTGCTAGGAAAAGAATTAGATTTTAATAGTAATATTTTTTGGTCTTAGACTCATTTCTAATATGTACTGAGGTACTACATGGTGGTAAAGCTAATGATCTATATATCTGTATTTATACATACACATACACTTTAATCAGAAAACAATATCAGCAGTTTTTTCTAAGTTGCTGAATAAACTCAAATATTCTAAAGAAAATGTATTCTTTAGAAACATACTTAATAGAACATAGTAGTATGTTCTATTGAAAGCATCGATACCAAAGAAAGTATGTCCAAATACTTTATCATATCTATAAATAATCAGTCTAGCATCTAGTAAGCTAATATTTGATTCTTTTAATTTGTAAAAAAACAACTACTCACAGGTAGAAAAAGCATAATATTCTAAAATAGAAAACTGCCCATATTAAGAGACATTCTCTGAGGATATAATTTGGTGGGGCATGATACAGAAATATAGTAAACATGAATTTAAAAATATATCTCATGCAGTCACAGTACCATGTTTTTGAAGTGATACAGGAAGTAGGCCAAAGGGCCAGAAATTCATAAAAACATGAATAAAAATCTTAAAAAAATAATTTGGGTTCTGGCTCTACCATTTACTAGTGTTGTAACCTTGGCAAGTTCCTCTACAGGCCTAGGGTCCTTATTTGTAAACTGGAATTAATAATTGAACCTAATACCTCATAGTGTAGTAGAAGGATTAAGTAAGCCAATGTGTGTAAAATAATCAGAAGAATGCCTGGGTACATAGAAATGCTGTATGAAAAAATGTGCATGAAAAAATGAAACTTAGTGGCTTAAAAAATGTAATGGCCAAATTAAGCCTCCCTATTGAGTCCAGGAAAGGATCATGAAAAGCTGATAGTCTTAAGGCCAGGGTAGGTTTTCACAACAATCATAGTTTTAAGAAATTAGAAACTATCATTTGATTAAACCCATGTGTTAAAGAGATGAGACTTTCTCTTAAAAAATGTAATTGGAAATAAGGTACAATTTTAAAACTCTAATGCCCAGTAAAACTAATCTGAGTGATAAAGGTAAACCAAGGCCATTCAAATTTGAATTAAGGCAGTTAAGTAGTAGTTTTCTTTATAATTGAGATATAAATTTGTGATACTACTTAGAGAAATGAAGACAATTTGAGCCTAATAGTAATTTTCTAAATTGAAAAGTGGTCTGGTAAAAGTCAAATAGAATAGAAATAAAATATCTTTTATTTATATAATGCATTAAAGGTTTACAAAGTATTTTAAAATCTATTATTTGATTGTCACCACAACTTCGAGATAGGCAAAAGAGATTTATTATTCTTATTTTTAAATTGAGGAGACTGAGGTTTTTAGAACTTATGTGACTTATTCAGTGTCACTCAAGGACCTAATTGTGAAGTCAGGACTGGAACCCAGGAATGCTGACCAACGGCCTAGTGATTTCATTATAGATATTCCTGAAATCTTTAGCTAAGCAGTGGCATAAAATAATGAGCACACTGCCGATGTGTGGCACACTGCCAGAGTGACTAAGTAAACAATACGTTAAAATGAGTTTTATTTCTAACTCCAATGCACACTCCATCAATTGTCCATAATATTGAAATAAGAAAAGGCAACAGGAAGAATTAACCTAGCACTTGCTCTCAAGTGAGTTATTTGCAAGGATGTTAATACTAGTTTTATAGCAGGTTTATTATATCAGACTATATGTTCTATAGATACTGGGCACTCAGGGTCTTTATATGTAGATCTCCTAGAAACATAATTTAAACCATAACAGATGTTTTAGAATTACATTTGAAATATTAGATATTACCTACCAATACTTCTGTATTTTTCAGTCGATCACATGTAGACAAACAATCTTTTACACTCTTCCTCTGAGAACGGTTTTGAGATTTTTCACCAATTGGATCTTCTTTCTTATCCTGTTCATTTTTCAATTGGTCTGACTTTTTGCATTTGAAGTCTTCATTATCTTTATTGAGATAATTTTCTATACTATTAAGTTGCATATTTTGCTCACATGTTGTAGGCTTTTTTGAGTCTTTGTTTGAGCACTTGTTTTCATATTTGTTCAAATATCCAGATATTTCCAACATAGAAACTTTTGAGTCTTTTTTTTTTGAATTATCAAATTGGTGATTGTTAAAAGATTCTGGATTACAATTTTCATTTTTTATTATTTTTTCCTTATACTTATTTGTGCAAATTTGTTTGTCAATACTGATGCAATTTGAATACCGCTTATCAATTCCATTGCTAATTTCTTGCTCCTTAAATTGACACTCAGAACGTGTATTTTCCAATCTGATTGCCAAATCTAAGTTATTTTCTTTGCAATGAGACATATTTGAGGGAGCCAATAAACTAGTGGCTTTGTTCTGTGTTCTTTGAAATGTATTTTGGATGACTTCACTAGGACTGTCCTGATATAGATGTCTTCTTATTTGCGGTTTTAAAGAGGACTTGACTTTACTATTGCATTTAAAAGAACTAAAAGATTTGGTAGGTATTAAGTTTCCCCCTTCATTGCAGTCTTCTAACAAGGAAAATTTTGTATTAGAAATGGAAACAGAGGCCTCATTCTTGTTTTTCTTCAACAAATTTTTGTCTTCATATGAACTCCTAAACACTTTAGAAGGAACTGAACTGGAGTCACACAGCTTGAATGATTGCCGGGGCATATGTGATACCGTTGGATCAATATGCTCCAAGTGTTGAGCAATCCTTGCAATAACATCTTGCCGCTCCTGGAGTAAAGAGCCTATTAAAGGATTAGTCTCACCAACAGACTGACGAGAATAAAGACCATTAGAAGTGCAAGTTTCACTTCGAGGAGTTTCTGGTTTTGCTCGAATTTTCCCCTCACTGGCGTCTTCCGAAGAGGTAAGCTCTGGACTACCAAAAGAAATGGAGAAAGTTTCTTTACATTTTCTCATGTTTTCATTTTCTTGTGAAACACGGAAAAGTTTAGAATTACGTGAACTAGATTCTTGCGTATTAAATGCATGTCCAGAAACATGTGAACTGCTTGGATCGCAATGAATCAAATGCTGAGCAATTCTTGCAATAACATCTTGTCGCTCCTGAATTAAAGAGCCTATTAAGGGATTAGTCTCACCAACTGACTGCCAGGAACTCTGGTGTCTAGAGACACTGGAATCAATCACTGAAAGTGATTTTATAGTTCTCACTGGTGTTTCTTGAGACTTTTTATCTCCTATACCACGGAAGCCCAGAATGTTGGCTTGACATGTTCCATAGTCAGATTTACTGCCAGTGCCTGGATATAGTTTGCCATTTTTGACAGCTGCAGTATATTCTGGAGTTGTGCCATTTTTTACATGTAATACACTTTCAGGTGCCATGGTCCAAGTTTGTTTGCTACACAGACGCTGTGAACTGTTGGTACTACATTGTTCTGCTTCGTTAGAATTGCGGTGCTGATGGGCTTTAAGTTCACTTTCTTGAATTCTTTTCTCATACAGGCCAATATTAGTGTGAATACTACAGGTCAAAACTGGGTAATTCGATTGTCTGGGCAAGGACTGAACGCTGACTTTCAAGGCCACATTGTGAGAAACATTGGGAACAGGAAACACATGTTCAGTTGGAGTCTGTGAAAAATTCCACTGTAGGTCTACATCGGCAGCACTGATTCTGGAATCACACAGAAAAATATAGAATCAATGGGTTATAAAATATATACCATTATTATATATTATTTAAACATTTTAAACAGCCATCTACTTATCTTTGTTTGCATCAATTACTATTGAGGTTTAACTTTTAGCTACTTAACCATGCATGTCATCCTGATAAAATCAACACAAGAAGTGTGGTAGATTATGTATGGAATAGAGATGACCTTTTAAAGAACACCAAAGAACTTAAGCATTAAATCTGAAGAATATTATAATTTACAATCTTTTGTCAAAACAAACAAAGAACTTCGTAGTTACCACTAAATAAATGGATTCAGTTAGTTCTATTGTGTAAGGTGATTAGGAGGTACTCTCTATTTCATGGCCACCTGCCTAAAGAGACAATTAAAGAGTTGTTTAGCAGCCTGTATGTTTATAGTGTTTGAAATGCCAAAAAGTAAGTAAGGCTACCATTACGGAAATTCAGCAGCCCAGAAAGTTTTTCCACTTTATTTATGATAGCAGCACTAAGTTCACTATTGGTTCTCTAAAGTAAGTTTAAAAGTTCTCTGAAAACTATTCTATACCAAATTTAAACCAAGAAACAAAATTTACACTGATTCACATCTACATTTCTCTAATTTGTTTTGAGAAAAAAAGTCAGTAAATTTTACCCACTTATATTTAGAAATGAAGGAATAAAATACTTAAAAGGCAAAATATCATTCAGTAGATAACCAATGTAGTTGAATACACACTGTATCCTTTCTTGCCCTATACATACCTGTAAAGAATATTTCGTGGAATAGCACCATGAGAAACACTCAGCCAAGCACTTAATTGAGAAAAGAACACAAATGAGCGGACAGCCAATAGAAGAGTCTTTTCTTCAATAAATCGATCGCCACTCCTAAGGGAAGTAAAAAAACATCATCTAAATTTCAGCAAGTACAAAATGAATGAATTTTAGAAAAATAGAAACTGAAATAAACATATCACTTTGGATGCGTGCTTTCAAGAGTATAGGAGTGAATTTACTGATGGTGTCACTTGAAGTCACATAAGAACTAAATATCTAAATTTTACTACATAAATAGAGGGATTCGAAGATAGGGTATATTATTAAAATAATGTCTAGAAAGCAGTGGAAACATGATTTACCAAGAACAACTTCAACCGGGGTTCTACAACTTACTGTCGAGGAACTGGCTCCAATATCCATCTTTCTAATAATAACGCATCTTGCTTAATTGCAGGATCATTTAGATCAATTCCTTCTGTGGTGGGCCCATCATCACTGTAGCAACAGTCTGGCAGTAGCATCACTTCCACCATGATTGGAAGGTTATTCTTCCACAACAATGCAACTTCAGACCTGGTTCGTCTGGCTTGTCGACACTTAGGAAAAAATGAATAAAGCGAAATGTCTTAATAACTCACATAATTTTGTATTTAAATTTGAAAATTACCATTGTTAAGTATACATCTGTTTGAGAAATGAGCCATCAGTTGTAGAACTTGCTTAGACTTGTCTGTTTAAGTTTCCTCGTTAATGAATTAACACTAATGAGCTCTAGAGTGCAAGGTTTAGTATTGAACAAAATTTATGCAAAATTTTTTTTGGGAGGGAATATCTTTGCTTTATCGTGTAGGAAAAGAACTGCCATACACAATGTTTGACAGGCCTCAAGGTGGCCCAGTTTTGCCTAGTTTGTTAATTACTCATCATTACAGAGGAGATTCATTCTAAGTGAACACCAAGATATTAACAACTCGTTTTCATTAAATGCTGAAAATATACAAGATATAAAAAGTTTAAATTTTGGACTACATTTAAGAAACTAACTGGAAGAAAAATCCTTACAGCAAGTTATATTTTTACTAATTACCAAAATAGATATTTTAACGCTATTATACAAAAACATTAATATGATAGTAAAAAGTATCCTCCCATTAAAATATATATATAAGCAGGAAATTGCTTCATGTGGGGAAATAATCATTAACATCAATCCACTAAATAAATAAGAACATAAAGTCGATGAGCCAGGGCTGAAACTCTAAAAATAAAAAAAGCTGAATTACGGTAGCAAACATCATCTTAAATTCAGTGAGTAAGAAAGGTAAGAAATTGGCTGCCTATCTGCCTGCTGATCAGCAAAGCTACCTACTGTGCCTTCAAGAGCCTTGTTTAACAGCCAAGGTTACTGGCTATGGTCTAGGCTTAGGAAGTTTTCTTTATGGTTGTGACTAATTTTATATTTAAATGTAAACATTATAATCGTGATGTAACAAAGGTGATGACAGAATTTATGTAGTTTATAGAGGTTTAAAAAAATAAAATAAAAAGCTTTAGACACACACACAGTTCTTACCTGGGCCAGCTTGTCACTGCATTCATGTTTGGTAGTTCCTGGGGAACAGGACTGTGCTGGAGGGCAATGGAAACTTTCTGAGCGACCTTTCACGGAACATTCAGGTGTTCGTCCTTCTGTTATTAACAAGGCCAAAGAGACCAAGAACTCCTCTGCATCGTATTCAAAATATTCGTCTAAAGTATCTGGTATTAAAAAAGAGAAAGAGGAGCCTTCGCTTTAATGAACTCTTCATAAGAACTCATCTTTTATGCCTAAAATAACTACTGTCACATTCTGCATTCAAGTATATTCACTAACCAAGAGTGAAAAGAGAATAAAAATGAGGCAATTAAAATGCAGTAAACTCTTGATTCACAAAATACACAGTCAGGAGATGATGGATATTTCAAAATTAGGAGATGATGGACATTTCAAAATTAAACAAAGCTGGTTAAAATTATGGCATAAAATTGTTTTAATGTAAACTTCAGTTTAAATACCTAAGATTTAGGAATACTTTAATCCTATAAATAATTATCTGGTTTTGGAAGTCAAATACAATAGTTTTCACACATAAAACTTCACCAATAGCAAAAGGTTAACATGTTTTATGTCATATATTTTTAGCTAAGATGTTTTATTACTATTATTAAATATTAGAAAAAGATATAGTTCCAAATGCATGTTTCTCCCCTTTTCTCTCTCTTCCTTTCCTTAACCTGCTCCTTATTCTCCTAGACCTAATTCTGTGACGTGGACATTTACAGCCACGGGGTCCTTCTCTGCCTTTCCAATACAGTAATGATAGCTGCAGAGGGAGAAATGCTATGATTACCCAACAGGAGATGCAGGCTCAAATTGCAATATATGAACTGTGATATTTTGGGGGGTACTATGCAGTTCCAAACAATCTAACCTGCAGATATTTTCACTTACTTGCAGTAATTTTAAAATTTCTCACAAGTGCTCTAATTTTTTTAAACACAGTTACCTTTCAAAATTATTAACCTGCTACACCGGTTGCACATGCATGCACATGTACTTTTTACATGCACAAAATTCAATTCATCATGCAATCCAATTAAGTAACACATTTTAAGTACCTAATATACTATATTAAGCCACAGGGTACACAGAGTTATACTGCACATAGCTCCCAGTCTCAAAAATATCAGAGACGATATTAAAAAGAAATAGAACACTACAGCATTTCATAAATTCCAAAGAAGTTCAGATAACAGTGGTAAATTTTGCAAAAGAGGTAGGTGTTGAACAGAACCATGAGAGAGAAAATGCAACTTGAGTGGACAATTTGTATAGAGAAAATATGGAAAATGCAAGACCAGAGCCAGATTGTGAACAGCCTTGAAAGGTATGATGAAGAATGCTTATTTCTAGACTCAAGAAGGCTTATCAGGAAAAGATGGAGCCTTGAAAGCCAACTTTACTGAGTTGGTATTTGAAGACCATTCAGAAAAGTTTCCCTAAAACGACCATTTGTGAAACATAAAATAAAAGCTACACTTAGTAACATTGTCAAGGCATTGCCAGTTTTAAGTATTTTCTATACATTAACTCATTCGATCTTCAGAACAGCTCTTGAAGGTGGGGACTATTACCACCATTCTACAGATAGATAACTGAAGCGCGGAGAGATTAAGTAACTCGTGTGAGACCACCCAGCTAAGAAGTAGCAAAGTTGGAATTTAAACCTACAGAGAGTCTGGCTCTAGAATATGGGCTCTTAACCATATATGCTTTCTTTCATTATGGCTATAAATTTTGCTTTTACATACTTTCATGTATGTTTGTAAAATTATAAATGAAAATAATATATCCAATATATATTTTAGTAATGTATTTTAGAATATTTATGACATAGAATTAGTTTCCAGGAATAGGACCCTAATTTATAATAAAACACCAGAGAGTAGAGTTTACTATAGTAAAGAATATGAATAGAACTGGAAAATTTATCCTGCTAAAGAAAATTCAATAGATATAACTTGATATTTTGATACATAGCTTACTCCAGATATAAGTTATGATTTTAGGGCCTCTAAAAACAATTTATCTTTACAAAAATAAAAAATGTTTCAAATTTAGACAAATGTAGACTGCTAGGTTTACCTACTAGTTACACATTTTAGAAGAGATAAATTATTCGATAGAAAACAGAAAAGATGTTACAAATTTTCACAGGCTATGAAGGACACATCATTGGAAATGGGGAGTTAATCAATCAGAACATAGTTCTAGAGTCCCTCTCCCTCAAAGACCTCAATGGGTATTGTGCTTACACCACAGTCTGACTGGTGGCCATAACTGGACTGGCTGCTTTTGTAGTGGCAAATCTTCTGGCTCTGGAGTTTAGCCATTTTCTTAAAGCCTCCATCTGTTCTGTCCAACAAAAGAGGTGAACGATTTGGTAATTGGGGAATTTTTGAACAGACTAATCCATAAATGAATCGGACTAACTTGAGAAGTCAATTCTTCATCACTAGGGGTGTTCAAGGACAGACTGATAAACACTTGCCAGGGGTGTCCTTGAAGGGATTTAGTCAATAAGTGGTGGCTAGATTAGACTTGCAGGGGTTCTTTCAACCCTGAGAGTCTATGAATTTCTGCTCTTTAGAAGAAGCTCAGAAAACATCCAGGGGGAGAGGCCAGGACCACTAACTTCTTTCTTTGGCGGCCCTAGCCAGCAATCCCTCTGAACCAATACACTTATTGCTGGTATCCTTGATTGAGAGCAAAACCCAGGATAGTGCAGAGCTGCTTCAAAGCTCTGTCTAAAGGGAATGGAAGAAGGTGTTACTCATCACTGGGCTACTGTATCCGCTGTTCAGTTTACTTCCAAAGACTGCCGAGGTAGTGGAAAGATTCCATGCCACTTATGACATGGAATAAAATGGCAAGATAAGCATAAGAGCAACCAGGGGGATTGCTAATAAGAAAGTTTCTTTAAAAATAACGTCCTTTGGAAGACAATCTGGAATATGAATTAAAATTCTCCTTTTATGAACTTATCCTAGGGAAATAATAGAACAAGCACACCAAGCTGAATGTTCAAAGATATTTGTTAAAATGTTAATACCAGTTAAAATTTTGGAATAAACCTAAATGTACAACAATATGAGACTGACTAAATATATTGTGGTAGAGTTATATCTAAAATAATGATATAGATCTACTTTTGACAAGTAATCTACAATGTAAGTGAAAACATGTTTCAAAAGAAAAAAATGATATGATCATGTGTTTGCATGGGCATACATGCATAGAAAAATATATATACAACAAAATATTATCAGTCTTATAAAGCAAAGACATAAAATAAATTTTAAATAAATTATTATTCTGACTGATATTAGATAAATGATAAGGCCTAGTAACTGAAAAATAACATGTAAATGAAAACATTACCTAGTGTCACATATTTTAATTAATTAGAGTTACTGTTTTGTAGAACTCCTAGCAGGTAGGTCATAGTTTGGTTGCTTAATATAGGAATTTGTGAAGCCAAACATAGGTAAGAGTATACTGTTAAAAATTGGAATTTAGCAATTTGAAACTTTTTTCTTCTCTCTCTCGTTCACTTCCTCTTTCTCTCTCTTTCTGTCTTTCTTGCTTGCTTTTTAAAAATAACCCTTTTAAAAAATTAGGTAAAAACTAGAATCTCATACTGATAATATGAGAAACATATATGGATGGACTTGAGAATGGGTGTTAAGAATCAGCAGAAGAGGTTATGCTCAAAGAATTGGACTCTCAATTGAGATAACCAATATGTAGGTATTAAGACTTGATTTATTCAACAAATATTTATTATACACCTACTGTGTGCCAGGTTCTTTCCTAGACATTGAGACTTGGAGCTTATATTCATTCTAGTGGTGGCAGAGAAAAACAGAAACAAATTAACAAGAAAAATATCAGATGGTGCTAAGTGCTAGGCCATAATTGTAAAAAGAGTGATGTGAGAGTTATTATGTGAATGCTTTATATCAAGTATAACATTTAACCTGAGATCTGAATGAGGAGCAAGTCATTCAAAAAGCAGGGGAAAGAGCATTCTGAGCAGAGGTCTAAGGTGAGAATGAATGAGTAATGTCCCTAGAACTAAAAGAAGGTGAGTGAGGCTGAAATGGCAGTGGAGAGAAGGAAAGTGGAAGGAGATGAAGTTTAGAATAGTGGTCAGGGACTAGATTATATAGGATTTTGAAATAGTGCAAGGACTTCAGATTTTATCCTTAATGCAATGGGAAGCCATTGGAGGATTTTAAGTGGAGAAATGATATAATCTGATTTACATTTTAAAATGATCATCCCGGCTGCTATGTTGATAATAGAACAGGAAAAAGAATCAAAGTGGGTATACTAGTGAGGAGGTTACTGCAGTTGTGCAGAGTTGGAGATACAGTTTTGTAAATCATGGCATAGGGAGAGTATTTAGGGTCAAGAGTTACCTAGAGGAACATGTAGGGAACTCATGACAGAACCCTGGGGTCATTCCAACAAGGGGCAATCTGGTAGAAGATGAATCAGTAAAAGGAGCTGTCAAGTATGGCATCATGGAAGTCACAAGAAAAAAATATGTTTCAAGAAAGGTGTGATCTCAAACACTGGTGAGGTTTAATAAAATATAAATAAAGAACTGACCACTGGATTGGACAATGAGGAAGTCTTTGGTGACCTTGACAATAGCAATCTCAGTAGATGGTGATGATGGAAGATTGAATAGATGTGACATACACTGTCAATTATTCTGAAGGGTATAGATAATAAATACAAAAGTGTACCTTCCTAGTCCTCTCTTAATATCCATTTATATTTTACAATTGCCCTTTCTATAAAAACAAGATAAGTATTAAATATGCAATATCATCACTCATACAAAATTGTCTCCAACTCTCAAAACGAGATGAAAAAGAAGTTCCCTTATAAGTCTATGGAACAGGAGCAGGAGATTTTCCTTCTTTATGGTCCTGAAATCCAGTCACTAAATCTTATTAATTTGTCCCTTTTAAATTTGTCTTGCAACTAAACACTTCTTTTTTAACCTCATTAGGCTCTTATTACCTAGTTAGGCTCTTATTACTTGCACCTGAATTACTACAACAGTCTCCTAACTATTGAATTCAGTGTGAACCCTTAAGCCTAGCATTAGGGTCAGGGCCACCAAACAGATTCTGATGTGAAT